GGTACACCTGATGAATGGTTCCTCGTGGACTTAAACATGAGGCAGGAAATTAAGCAGGTATCGGGTTCAAGTACTTGTGTATACAAAAAATTCTTGTTGGGAGACTCATCTACCACTGCAGGTATGCGAACGAGTCGACCATAAGATTGGTCGGTGTATATTTTGTTTTTGTTTTTTTTCTTTTATGATTTTTAGATAAAGGAGAGAGGAATGAGACACTTGTCTCATTCCTATTGGCCATTATAAATATGTTAACATAACTATAACTCAAATTATAGATATTATTTTATGTTAAAAAATAAAATAAAATATATCAAATCATATTTTTTCATTCACTATAAATAGAGATTACTCTTGATATATTTTGGAGTAGAACTGAAATTATTATATTGAGTTGAATTCTAGATAAAATAATAAAAAAATATTTTGTAGATAATATTTAATGAATAATAAATAAAAATAAAATAAATATTATATTTGGTTGGGTTTGATTGGGTTGGGTATAAAGATATGTAAGTTGTTAAAAATTGAATTGTGTATGTAAAGGAGAGAGAAATAATTCTTTATTATTGGGTTGAGTTGAGTTGTGGATAAGTATAGTATTAGAAACAAATTTAATGTATGTCTATCTAGTCATGGATTGATGATTAAATAACCATATCGTGCAAAATATTTATTTACATTGACTTTTTCTTGTGTAGTACTACTTAACTACGTAATATATTATAGTTTACTAATTAAAAGTTCTCATATGATTATTAAATGTTACGATCTTTTCTGCAATGATTACTTGAAATTTGAAATTAAAAGTGCTCATATGATTATTAAATGTTACGATCTTTTCTGCAATGATTACTTGAAATTTGAAATTGAAAATAGGGTTTTGAAAAGTGAATTGAATATTTAATCAGAATGGTTTCAACAATACATACCATCATTTTTCGCAATGTCTCTTTTTCCATTTGCCATGAAGTAGGGTTTTTCATTTCTAAGTTTAACATTTAAAATCTATGAAATTGAAATTTAATCGACATGAAAAGCAAAAAAATCTTACTTGTGAAGTAGGGATCGTCGGAAATTGAGCGTTTTTTTTTTTTGTTAAAATTGTCTGCTCCGAGAAGTTTTGCTCGTGAAACAGAGAAAATAATGGTGAGAATGAAGAGGTGTTGCAGTTGGGGGAGAAGACAGTTGGAAAATCGAGGCACGATGCCGGCAAAATTGAGGAAAAAAAAATAAATGTTAAAAGGTGTGATTTGATGTGAATAAAAAGTTTTTCAACACCTTTTTTTTTTTTACCTGGCTGGCGCATGTAAATCTGGCCTGAAACACCTAGTAAGGTGTGTCAAGGCACACGATAGTGCAACTGGTGTGTGTCTGGTCATGGATTGATGATTAAATAACCATATCGTGCAAAATATTTATTTACCATTGACTTTTTCTTATGTAGTGTTACTTAAAGACTAAAGTGCTCATATGATTATTAAATGTTACTACTACTTATTCAGATTTGGCTGTATGACTGAAACTTTTTGTAATTTTGATTGGAATGATACTAAGTTACAAGTTTTCCTTTTAATTATAATAAGATAAAAAAAATTAAGAAAACGACTTGTCTTCTCCGTCATCTCCTTCACTATACCACCGTCGGTCGGCTCCCTTACCTTCACACACACACACACACACTCTCTCTCTCCTCCATTACCATTACCATTACCATTACCATTAGGTCCATTACCATCTTCATCTCTCTCTCTCTCTCACATCTTCTGCCCAACCCAATCACAAATTCTTCATTCATTTCATCTCTCAATAATTTGTTTCCTCAATAATCCTTCTTCAATGGATCTGGCCGCTGAAGAGCTTCAATTCCTTAGCATCCCCGACATCTTTAAGGAGTCAATTTCAATCCCCAAAAAATCCCTCAACACCTTCTACCTCATTACCCTAACCCTAATTTTCCCCCTTTCCTTCGCCATCTTGGCCCACTCCCTCTTCACCCACCCCATCCTCGCCCAGCTCCAGTCCGACGCCCCCGCCTCCTCCTCCATCTGGTCCAAGCTCCTCATCTTCCAGTTCTTCTACCTCATCTTCCTCTTCGCATTCTCCCTCCTCTCCACCGCCGCCGTCGTCTTCACCGTCGCCTCCCTCTACACCTCCAAGTCCGTCTCTTTCTCCTCCACCATAGCCGCCATCCCCAGCGTCTTCCGCCGCCTCTTCATCACCTTCATATGGGTCTCCCTGCTTATGGTAGCCTACAACATAGTCTTCCTCGGCTTCCTCGTCCTCCTTCTCATAGCCGTGGACGTGCAGAGTGTTTTCCTCTTCATATTCTCGACTCTGGTGATTTTCGTTTTGTTTCTGGGCGTGCATGTTTATATAAGCGCGTTGTGGCATCTTGCGAGTGTGGTGTCTGTTCTCGAGCCCGTCTATGGGTTTTCTGCTATGAAGAAGAGCTATGAGCTGTTGAAGGGGAAGACCCGCATGGGGTTCTCCATAGTTCTTGTGTATTTGGCTACATGTGGAGTGATCAATGGGCTTTTCGGGTCGATTGTAGTGCACGGAGGGGATGATTATGGTGTTTTCACGAGGATTGTGATTGGTGGATTTCTTGTTGGTGTGTTGGTGAATGTGAATCTGATTGGGCTGCTGGTGCAGAGTGTGTTTTACTATGTCTGCAAAAGCTATCATCATCAGGGTATTGATAAGAGCGCGCTTTACAATCATCTGGGCGGGTACCTTGGGGAATACGTGCCTCTCAAGAGCAGCATTCAAATGGAAAACTTGGATGTCTGATGACAGGGATAACACGCCAAATGCGCTAGAGTTGGTAAATTTTCTTACTTGAGGACAAAATGTGAATTTGAAACTTTTTACTGTTTCTGTGTGGGATGCATCTCTTTTGTTGCTATGGAAACTCTGGTTTCATTGATTTTCCTTGTTGCCGGTTATGTTCTTTGATGCCGAATGATCCTTCACTTGATGGTAATCTGTTTTTGAATCTATTAATGAACTTTGTTAACTGTTCAGCTTAGTGTAGTTACTGTAGTATGGTGTTCTTTGCATTTTGACAGTGATTCAGAGTCTACCTTTTGATGTTGGGCTTGTTGTAATTTGGCGTTGGGCTTGTAGCATGTTCACTTTGTTTGCTAATCTGAGAATTTGACTTTTAGTTACTAGGGAACGAGAGAATATGTTTAGTCGAACAACTAATGGTAGAAAAGAACATGAATTATTATGTATTTGTGGTAAATATGGAGTGTTAGTTATATAATGAATTACTCCTGTTTACATGTTGATAGTAAATATATAACTTTTTTGTGATCTAATTTTTCAATTCATTATCTATTAGTTTTGAAAAGAAGTTGAAACGGTAAGCAGAGACATGTGAGACAGAAATTCAGACATTAGTTAGTTGTGTGTGTCTGAATTTGGGTGCAACATGGGAGCTGTTGTTTCGCGCATGATCCTATAGCTGCTAATAAGTAATAACTAGGTATGAATGTTTTGAAACTGTGAAGTCTTACTGAAACTGTAGGACTTTAACGTAATATCCCAATTCAGAACCTGAAGTATGTACTTTAAGATTGCAAATTGCATGTGGGTCCCTAACCAGTAGGCAGTTACTGTCGGTCTCTCTTAGCTCGAGAAGTTCTTATCTGCTGAAATGTGCCCTGTAGATTGGGTCCCTAACCAGTAGCCAATTACTGTCGGTCCCTCATAGCTCGAGAAGTTCTTATCTGCTGAAATATGCCCTGTAGATGTGTTGAGAATTTTCTGAGTTTCCAAATGTTGTGATTCGTTTGTTTTAGGTTCATCCATTTGGATTAAGTCTAATACAGAGTCAGTCAGTGTTCCTCTTCATCTTTTGATCCTTTCCAAGTGCTTATGAAAACTCATGATTTAACTTTATTCACAAACTAGTTCAAATTGTAAGTAGGTTCGTATATTTAATATCACTATACTGCTAAGCTTTCTTTCTTCTGCGTCCTCTCATTTCTACAATTTAGCAAACGCTAGAAGAACCATGTCGCTATGAATTTGAAAAACCTTGCAATTAAGGAAATGAGAGGACGCCAATGGAGGATAATGATTGCAATTAGAAACTGACTTTTTTTTTTTTATTATTATTATTTATTTGGCTATTTGTTAATGGATAACACTCTTTTGAAATTTCAGGACCATTACTTCAATTGTCCGTGTATTCATATGTGAAAGCAATTGATAATTGTAAGGTTTTTCAAATTCATAGCTACATGTTAATATAGGAATATGTATACTTTATAATAATGTTTTAATTTTGGGTTGGACTGTAAAGGGCCTGGAATTTTTGCAGTTTAAAAGAAGAAATTGAACATAATAATGTTTCAGAGCTAAGGGGTTACGCTAAGTAGCCTCTTAACTCTGAAATGTTATGTTCAATTTTTATTTTTTCTCTATCGTTTCGGAAAAGAAAAAAAAAAAAATCTGAAAAATGGTAGTATTATTTACAACACGATGAGGTGATTGGTAGTATTTTCGTGGTGACATAATGCAATTTAATATTTGACACACATAACCTTCTCCAAAATTCAATTGCCGATAGTATTTTGATCTTTAACCAAACTGTTGACTATTGTACAAATATGAAAGCAATCAGTAAGTAAACTTATAGCCACGTCATCGAAATTTAGACATATATCCAACCAAATGATATTCATTCATGTAGATCAATAAATAAATTTCATTAAAATTTGTCAAAGTTGATGTTAATCAGTTGATTAACAAATTGAAAAATTCAAGGTCACACCGCAATCAATTCAATATGTGAGCTTGGTCAATCAAGTTAATTAGTTGCAATAAATTTTGATTCATAAAACTTTGAAATGCACTTACAAGTTCTAACAAAAATTAATAACTGATTTTCAATCTCTCTCTCTCTCTCTCTCTTTAGTAGAAATTTTGAAAAGTAGCTAATCTTTTGCTGTAATTAACGCTGATAATTTTACTTCGTTTACAAGTTCCCCTTTCTTCTTGAGAGTCGATGTTTTTCTTTCTTGACTTAGGGATCTTGTATGAATAATACTCGTTTGATCACTTAATATAAGTTCCTTGTCTAGTAAAAAAAAAATAAATTAAGTCTGATAATATAATGTACCTTAATTTTCCATCCAAGTGTTCATAGAGGAATATATATATATATATATATATGTAATATGCCTTTTGAGGCACATGGAATCTTGTCTTGCTAGCTAGCATATTTCACATTGATGTCATCATGTGGTGTAGAGCGGGCCCTTTAAACTATTTCCAATTAAAGCATAATAATCATCAAGACGCGCGATAACTAAAGCCATATCAATTTTATTTTTCAATTATTATTGCTAAACGACAGTGTAGTGATAGTTACATGGTTGAACAAACAACTTCATAAAACTAATTCAATCTTTGAATTTCATAAACCCCCCCCCAAAAAAAAATAAAAATAATAATGACCCACATTGATTATACACTAACATGTTGGATAATTTTTAAAATCTACACTTTAATATAACATAAAATTATTTTTAAAATCGATAATTGTTGGAATATCACTTGTGAGTTGTCTCACATTGATTATATAATATAAATGAGCTTAGTTTATAAGCCTAGTTAACTACTCTTCCCGTCACCAATTGATTTTGGGATGAAATCTCACTAAGGTGCACCTAGGTTCACCCTAATTGGTTTTGGGATGAAATCTCACTAAGGTGCACCTAAGTTCACCTTTTTACGCTGCGCTTCATATTTGGTGGGACCGCACTTTCTTCCCCCGTTTCTAATAATAATCATCCTACACTAGCGGACCATCTCCATCTGTTTGGTATACAGATGATGATCCGTGCAGAAAAAGAGCCATCAATAATTAAAAGAAGAAAACGTGAAAAAAAAAACCTGACATTAACATGTGGTAAATCGATTTGAGAATGTATGGCATAAAAACTGTGCGTGTATGTGCCCACAAATTAATTAGAGTGACATGACATTCATCAATGCTAAAATGATGTTTATGCAATACACGTTCTCTTTGATTAATTATAACAAAAATATTTTTTTGTTTTATTTATCTATTAATCATTGTCCATCAAGAAACAAATTTATGTTTAAAATCATGTTTTTTTATTATTATTTTATTTTATTTAATAATTAATACATGTGTGTAATTATAATGTTATTATAGACATGTGTAATTCAGCCAACAAAATAATCAAGAATCGGAGCCACATAATCTATTATTCCCATATATTTAGCAGCTAAAGGAATTCTCAAATGCTTAAGTATGTGTTGGGCAACGCAATTGAATTTAAAAAATATGAATTATAATTATAATGGTAGATTAGCAATAATTCATCATAAGAGGTCAACAGTAACTATTTATTATATATATATATATGTCCCAGAATTTGATGTACATGATAATCGAAATTGTTACTTTTGGAAAAAGAAGAAATATAAATTGATTTGATTAATATACACAATATTCAATTCAAGATTATAAGATGAGAGATCTTTGTGTTCGTTTTTCATATCGAAAATGAGCACTGATTAATCAATTAAATACTGTAGTCATGAATCTGACAAAATTGTCTCATTGCGACTGAAATAAATATTGAATTACACAACTTTTTCTATTTAAAAAAAAAAAAATCTATTTTGATTAGTTTTTTAGTGTAGCAGTGAATGCTCACCTACCCACGGTGGACATATATTAATATGTCCACCGCTACACACATTGGTGATGTTAATACTTCTAAAAAATACATCACTAATATATACATACGCATAAGTGGTGAACATATTAAAATGTGCACACCGTGAGTAGATGAGTATTACTAATGATGAAACTGTTGCAATTTACAATGGTTGTGTAATTTGTTTACTATATATCGCACTGAATTTTGAGGGGTTTTATTTAATTCTTAATTTAAAGTCAAAACCGCCAATACGACGACGACGCAGTCATGTTTGATTTGAACCCGCTGCATCGAGAGTTATACCTCAGAAAGAAAATGAAAGGCACTGACAAAATTTCATCACACAACTCAAGATTTTTATTACACATTTTTTCTCGACATCTTCAGATCCCATCTTCAGATCTGCCGATTTGCGACTCCAAATATTTTACACTACAAATATTTACACTCCATATTTGAAAAAATAAAAAAATATTAGGCCATATTTTATTTATTCTGTATATATTGTTTAATCGTACCCAAACGAGCCGATTTTGAGCATTTCAAACTCATGTTTTTCGAATATTATTCTTTTGTTAATCAAATAAAGAATTATTTTTTTAAATACTTGAATAATTCAACAAATAGCGATGCTGAAACATTGTTAATTTAATTAACTCGGTATAAGTTAGCTCCGCCAATATAAATAAAAATATATTCTTTTCTAACATAAATATATATATATATATATTTTTTTTTCTTATCAAAATAAATAGTACTCGATTAATGATTAAGCCAGCTGAATTGGTGTGATTTTTGTTCATTCTGACATGTGTGCAAACGTGGGACTTGTAAAGGTGTACACATATGCAAACAATCCCCGTTGGTAATATATAGATTATATATGATGACAAGAGGCCCAAGATAGATGGCCCCTGTCCGAATTTGGGACCAATGTGAAAGAAAGCTAATTATTCATAGAGAGAGAGAGAGAGAGGATGGAGCGAGGGAGATTGAAATCGATATCTATCTGAAAAAAGAAAGCAAATTTCTGTTTTCCTTCTCCTCTTTTAAAACCTCAAAGCCTTTTGAAACTCAAAAGACCCCCTTTGTTATCCTCTCGATTTGCTCTGTATTGATCATTTCAAGACTCGGAGTTGGGTTTTTCTTCGGGGCCACCACACTTCGGAATTTCTATCTACTTTCTTAATTAAATCGAATCGAAGCTTGAGTTTCATTACAGAGGCTTGTTTGATTAAGGTTCTTGGTGAAAGTCCTTTCCTTTATTATTATTAATTTTTTTTTTTCGTTTCTTATTCTGGGTAGGTGGTTATGTGGCTGGTATTCAGTTGACCCCACCTCTATAATTGCGTACCAGGAATAATTTTTTAGCAGCAGCAAAATCATCTCCTCTTCTACTCTTGTCATCAGCTCCCATATTACTTCTGTCGGGGGTTTATGAATCAAAGGTTGGTTACTCTTTTTTTATTTGTCAGAATTGGGATTTGGAATCAACTGAACAAGGTTTTGTTGGGTTTGAATAGAAATGGCGTCTGGGGTTGAATTTGGTGAAGATAGTAGTGACAGTAAAGGCGGTATGTGGGTTTTGGAGCAGAAGCTTGATCAGCCTATGGATGAAGAAGCTGGAAGACTTAAAAATATGTATAGAGAAAAGGTTAGATTTTATCATCACCCCATCATCTTTATTGTTTTTTCGCCTGTTAGCTTTTTTACTACTTGGGCTGTTGTCTTGTTAAGCTATCTCTGGGGTCAGCTTGCTTTAGTTCTGGGAAAAAAAGTTGGGAATTTTTGTGGATTATGTTTTACTTATGTACTACTTTTTTTCGATCAAGCAGAAATTTTCGGCGATTCTGCTCTTGAGGCTTGCATTCCAGAGTTTGGGAGTGGTATATGGAGACTTGGGAACATCTCCTTTGTATGTGTTCTACAATACTTTTCCTCATAATATAGATGAGCCAGAGGATGTGATTGGTGCCCTTTCTTTGATTATATACTCACTCACGCTAATACCCCTCCTCAAGTATGTTTTCATCGTCTGTAGAGCAAACGACAATGGCCAAGGTGAGGTGCTTTGAAGAGCAACTTCTTGTGATATTACGTTGTTTAATGTGAAAGTGGATAACGAGAGGTGACTATTTCTGATACTCAGCCCGCTAACATGACATTTTTCTTCAAATTTCTCTTCAGATAACTCGAAATGAGTCCAAAATGCAAAGATTTTTTGCACAAGATTATTTGAACCCTTCTTCTGATTCTTCTTTCTTACAGGAATTTTTTAAGTGACATGTATGAAAACTGTATAAAGTTCTAATAAACTGTTGTAACTAGACTTGGTATATGTATATGCTGCATTTTATTTTATGTTATTTTGTTCAATTTTTCTCGGTTCAATATCAGAATAAAAGTGTTGTCTTCATTTGATTTTTTTGCGTTCTCTAAACATTCTGTTTCCGGCAATCCTATTTAGTTGCATGCACATCGTAAGATAACATGAAACAGCTGCCAAAAGTTAGTAATAATGATGGATGATAGATTTGTAACACTTTTATACATCTTTCGTCGTTTACTGTTTAGGAGGAACTTTTGCTCTTTATTCTTTACTTTGCCGCCACGCGAAAGTGAAAACAATCCCGAATCAACACCGGACAGATGAGGAGCTCACAACTTATAGCCGTAGCACATTCCATGAGCATTCTTTTGCTGCTAAAACCAAGAGGTGGCTTGAGGCACACGCAATCAGAAGAACTTCTCTTCTTATACTCGTACTTGTGGGGACCTGCATGGTGATTGGTGATGGGATTCTCACACCAGCTATTTCTGGTAATTAGCCCTATAGAGCTGTAATCGTGTTTTTGTTGATTCATAATTCTACCTTGTGGAGTGTTATTCTCAACCAATTAGCAAGTAGTTTTAGATTGTATTGCAGTTTTATGCCCATTATTATGCGAATGATGGTCCTGTTTGTATGTAATCCTTATTCCTTAAGTTTTCTGCTTCTTTTCAAGCCTTTGCTAACCAAAATTCATGTCACAGTTCTTTCTGCTTCTGGCGGGATCAAGGTGGACCACCCAAAGATGAGCAATGGTTTGTTCTACTAACTGAACTATTATGTCTCGTCATTTTTTTTTTTTTTTTTT